CTTTGAAATCAAATCAAACCAAACTTATAATTAAGATTTGAGTTTGGTTTGAGTTTGAAAATAGCAAGTTTGAGTTTAGTTTGGTTTGAAAATTTGCAAAATTTAATATTTGAGCTTGGGTTTAATTCAAATCAAACTCAAACTCAAACTTATCAAATCAAACCTCAGAACCCTACTCTGAAGCAACTTTAAAACATGCTATTAAAAATAATGGCTCTCTAAACCTTCCAGGTTTTGCTAAAGTTTTAACTGATCATAAAAAACAACAATTAGTAGGATACTGTTTAAATATGCAAAAACTTGGCTTTGAACTAACCAAATCAAATATAAACCATTGTATAATGGAAATTGTTAAAAAACAAAATAAATACATCTTTTTAATGAGAGCAAACTAGGTAAAGCATGGTAGGAGTATTTCATAAAAGATTATTCTGAGCTTTCTTTTTGCATTTCACAAGCTTTGAATAAAGCATATATTCAAAGAGCTAATCCTGCTATAGTTAAAGATTATTTTGAAAAGCTTAAAGATATTATTGAACAATATTTGCTTATTGCTAACCAAATTTGGAATATAAATGAGACAGGCTTTGTTCTCAACTCTGAACTTGATAAAGTTATAGCAAAGAAGGGTGCACAACAATTTATTAGTATTTGAAAATAATAATAATATGTATAATAAAAATTTTTAACATATTTTACTATCTAAATAATAGATCTATCAAGTTTTTTATAGAAACTCTAATAAGTATATTTTGGTGTATCTAACAATTTTTGCTACTAAAATATCTATTCTACTACTTATTATTTGTAAAAGAAAGCACATGATTCCAGGTCTCTTAGATGATGCTCCTTCTGGTTCTGTTATAGAATTTACAAAGACTGAGTATATAAAAAAATCTCTTTTCCAAAAATATATTGAGCATTTCATTCATTCAATTCTGCCTGTTTGTCTTGTTCTCTTGATCCTTGATAGTTATAAAAGTCATATTAGTTATATAAATATTAAAATTTGTTATAATAACAATATTCTTTTATATATACTTCTATCTTATACAATTCATATACTACAACTTGCTAAGCTTCTTTTTACACAACTTAAGAATGAATATAATAAAGAGTATAAACAACTTTGTGTTAATAATAATAAAGAATTCATAACCAAATATACATTTAGCAGGGTTTTGGGTCCTGCATATATGAAAACCTATATATCTATAGTGATTTGTAATGCCTTTAGAGCTACTGGGATATGGCTATTTAATTCTAATAGCCTTGATTTCTCATTAGTAACTAAGCAACTTGATATTCAATCTTTTGTTCAACTATCTGCCACATTAACAACTTCACTTTTACAGTCTTTAAAATCAAATTTGAGCTATATATATACTTGTACTTCATTGAGATCTAAAGTTAAAAATCTTAATACCAGAGTTGAAAAACTAGAAGCAGAGTTAAAAACAACAAAAGAAAATTAGAAACCTTAAAAAATCCAGGTATATTTTTGTTATGATCAATCTTGAAGTACTCTTTCTCTCACCCTACCCTAACTGAAAAAAAATTCTAAAAACTAGCCCGAATCTAATATACAAAAAAAGAAGAAGCAAAAAACTATACTTTTTTCTCAACTTCTTACTAATGAAAATTCATTAAAGTTATTAAAAGATACTAAGGAAGAAGCTGAGAAAAAAGCGAATGAAATAAAATATAAAAAAGAATCTGCTACTCAAAAATGAATAGAGTGAGAAGCTGAAAGAGTACAAAAGCAGGTGATCAGGGCACAAAAAAAAAACTGTAGAAAATAAAAAAGAAAAAAAACTGATGATTAGAATTAAATAAAAAATTTCAACTAATACAAAGTGAAAATCAGATTTATATACTTATTAATTAGGATGTATTGGGAATAATAAAATATCAACTCTTTCCGCTGATCCTCTGTTCCAAATTTAGAACTAAGAAAAAACAGTAAAATTTACAAAAACGAGTTAACAA